GCTGTTCATTTAAGCACTCTAAAATGGTCTGCTAATTTGTCTGGGGCGTGCTGTGCTTTCTCATGTTCTCATTTTAAGTTGAGCCATATGGCTCACTGACGCTACACCGTTAGAAGTCATCGATTCACGATTAAACGCATAAAATTTGCGAAGCATGCAGGTCAGCGCATGGCTCAAAACAACATTTTTCTAGCGAGCCGACTCATCTCGCGGCTTCCCCCAAAACGATTGACTCATGAGCCGACTCACGAGTCAGCTTGAGTCGAACACAAGTCTGTTTGCAGACTCTACCTTTGTAAACACTCAACCCAAAATAAGGAATTTTTCGAAAAAGTAGTCTTCAGATGGCAAATGTCACGAATTTCTTACCAATGTGCGACCATCTAGCCCCTGAAAACAGCTTCCAGTAATCGTTTCAACCAACAGCGCGGCAAGAGTCGCGTGATAGGGATGCGTTGCTGCTTGCTGTGCTGACGGACTGACATTTCGTCGTCCCTCACGGCAATCAGCGCGAAAGACGTCGACGTTAACTAACCTTAGATGTTGGATAGGTCATTAACCGCCGCTTCCTGACTTCCTCGCCCTCGGCAGTTTCGAATCGTCCACCCACCCCCAGTGTGCCTCTTAACCAAGCAAGGTAAAATGCTACGGTAAACAATGTCGTGATACTTGTTGTGTTAACTCTCCAGTGGTATCGGCATTTTTGGTTTCCGGTCAGCGGGTGTCCTCCCAGGTTACGAAAATGATCTGCCGGCGCGTGAACTCCTCAGCAATCGGGACTTTTCCAGCCACTGCATCGCCCCCCCCCCCCCCCCCACCCAAAAAAAACACGTGACGCAGGGCCGCGTGAATGACATTGTAGCCCTCGTCTCCGTCCTGGGCTGAGGCCAACGCATCAGGGGCCTCAAGACGTTAACTTGTAACCTCCCACAGCTCGGTCAATGTGCGCGCGGCGTTTACTAATGATCTATATTAGTGAATGGTTGAGGTAATAAGTGCTGAAATTCGGTTAAAATGAAGCGTACGTGGCGTTCCAGATCCGGTTCAGTACAACGTCTGACAGAGGAACGACTTTCGGTCAAAAATTACATCCGAGTCACCAACCGCAAGTTTTATGCATTTCATGACTTTTAGCATGCATTGCTACATGAATTTGTAATTGCATTATATCATATGAGGTCATACTTATCACAGGTCACTGACCCGACTTCCCTTGTGGAAGTCAGAGGACGCAAACCGCATTAACAGGTCTGGTGCTACCTATTGATTAAAGCTTGGCCCAAATCCATACTAAATTACTATCTCTGCGCATTACACACCTGAAACAGCCGATAAAACGGCCAATACCTCATGTAAGCCATCGAGAATGCCCGTATGTCCCCGTGGCGGGCGTGACACGGGACTGCGATTGGTCTCAGAGTGTGAGGAAGGACATTTAACCCTACAACTGAGACAGCGGCTCGCTGCCGCACGCAGTCTCCCAACTGAACGACAGTTAGGTGGGCTTAATTTAGATCCGGTGTTGGGCGAGGGCTAGACCCCAAAAATAATACCCCTTCATCAGCAGAGCAGCGTGGAATGTGACCCTGCTTGCCTTACTAAAATGGGTGCAATAGATGAGTATTTTAGACCTTTCGGGTGAATACTGAAACTGAATACATAGCGCTTCACACGCATTCAGACGGGTTGGTTCTCCCTGATGACACAGCCTTCGCCACCTGCTGAACTCGTGGGTCAAAAGGGCGTGACCCGTTTGGCAGCGTCAAACCGTCTGCGTCCGCGGTGGTCCCGCCGGGCTCACGTAATTAGACAACGGCTCGCCTGCACGTTCTTCAAGTGGATAAACGACAGTGAAATCGCCAAACGAGGTCAGAATCCATGCCATCAAGAAACCTCCGATTTCCAACGGGCCTCGCGCCGACACGCAGGAAGCGCACAGCCTGAGAAAGGCGGGCACAAGGTTTATTGAGCACGGATCAGCCACCCCAGCGACTTTAAGCATCCTCTAATCGCTCTTTTTGATTGTAAGCGCACCGCAACAACATCTTCGTGCCGTTTTACTTTTACACACAATGCAAGCGGGCTATCCATTGCTTAAAATTGCCACAAGAAATTCTCACGGTTTGTCGAATGCGAAAGATAACAGTGCAGTGACATGAAATGGTGATGTCAGCGAAGCCAAGCAGCAAACGCAGTTAAGATATAGCTTCTGATACGCATGCGCTAAGACTTTAGGCTCCGCCGTCGCAGCTGCACTTCACAAAGCGTCTTAAAATAGGTGCCAAAGGCTGATTGCATCATTGACACAGCCGGACCGGGCGACGTGACCAGCACGAGCGCAGCGAATGACGTCAGCGTTCGCGCCATCCAGTAGCTGTGACGTCACAATCAGAGAACGTTATTGGGCGCAATTACACCGCAGCCGAGTCGCATGCCTGCGTTTCCGGTCTTGAGGCTGCCGGGGTTGCCGCCGAGGCCGAGGTCATCCTCCCCAGAGTGCACCACAATCGACCTGCGGCAAGGGAAGTCAGCGTCTTCTTAGAAGACAGCTGGTTCCGCGTCGCTGGCAGAACTGTATGCACAAGTCGTTTGGGCCTGACTGCCAGTGCCACCTGTTGCGAGTAACTCGACAGTCGTCAGCTGTTGCCGACTAGAGGGTTTGCTCCTCCGCTGGCGTTGTTAAGCTGCACGTTTCGCCGGCCTGCGGGCACTGAGCGCACGGCATCTCTAGCCTGTGGCATGTGATGTCTACACAAACTACAGCGGATTCGGTAGCAAGCCTGCGAGGTGCAAACGAGCCTTTAGTATTTAACACTGTATCACTCAACGCATAGGCGCGTGGCCGATCATCTCGCTGTTTATCAATGCGATTAGCGCAATCGCGTAGGTGCGCTGTCGAAAACTTTTGCTCCGCCCCCGCCCCCCTCCCCCGTAGCGCAGCAATCTTCCCTAGCGTGGTAGTTACCGTCGGAAGATGTCGCGGTCGCCCGGGAACAGACTGATGATGGGGTCGGCGATGTAGACCTCGGCCACACCGTTGTAGTCGGCCACGATGTTGCCTAGGTCACCGACGTGCCTGTGGTCGGTGTCGCTGGTTTGTGCACCATGGTTTCTCTGCAACGAAAATATCTGCCGGATCATGGCCCCGTTAGTGGAAAAGTGGGCGCAAAGTACAAGGTTTTGGCTCGCTGCTATCTGAAGGAGCTTAGTGAAGATAGCTCAGCGATGAGGGAGGTCGGTTGAGCCGTTTAATCTATTTGTGAGATTCAGCCACATATAATGTGCCGTAACAACCTCGGTAATGAAGGAGAGCTCTGTAACAGCTGCTATCGGCAAGTGCATCAGAATGAGAACGGGTGCATATGCATATGCATACGCATTCGACCGAAGTGTGGTAATGGGATCAAAAGAGCTCTCCACTTTTAGTTCTACGTGCTACGCCCGGAGTACCCGAGCACGGCGGTCTCATCTGCAGCGTTTATGGCTAGTTGGTCACTTGAAGTCTTCACTGGAATTGACGTTTTGATCACTGCCAGTGGTCTTAGAAGCCAGTAGTTTCTTGGTGTTTCAGTGATGGACTCATTGAAACGAAGAAGTCCGTCCCTACTGCCCGTCCCGATGGCTTAGTTGGTTAAAGTCCACCCTTCCGATCCACCCACCCATGGGGGTGGGTCCGAGCCGCATGAGACGCCTGCTACTTGGCCTTGACTGGAATGGCGTGCGGCAGGTGGCAGGGGCCGCTCGAAAGGTCAGGTGAGCTCAGAGGGCACGACGGACCGTGCCGAGCATTACTGCATTTCAAACTTCCACCGACAAGGTCTGCCTTTGAACTGGGATTTCGCGATCGGATGGTAGGGGTCACGGCTCACGCAATAGGTGCTGCTTAGCGTGTCCTCTGATCCAGGGATCCATTAATTCAAGAAGTTTGGGTTTTACCTTAAAAAATAATGATTCATCAACACAAACACTTATTTCGTGTACCTTACAGCTTGCGCACCATTCCGACGGATCGAATAGTCCATAAAGCGTGAATGTAAGCTGCAACCATAAGTGGAGCTTCCTACCGATCTAGTGGCTTGCGCTCCATACCACCAGCTCGAGACCAGGACGGGGGGGGGGGAGGAGCAGCACAAGGCACTGAGTGAATGTGTGTGGGGGGGGGGGACGAGGGGGGTACTCCACAAGTCGACACAAAGTATCATCCAAGAGTGCATCTCCTTCGGTTTCTGGACCCTCCGAAACGCCTGGTCCCGACCCCGGGATAGCTGGTTCCGGCCCCGGGACGGCTGGTTCCGGCCACCGGGATGGCTGGCTCCGGCCCCGGACAGCTGGTTCCGACCCCGGGCTGGTTGGTTCCGGCCCCGGGATGCCTGGTTCCGGCCCCGGGATGGCTGGTTTCCGGCCCCGGGATGGCTGTTCACGCCCCGGGATGGCTGGCTCCGGCCCCGGAACAGCTGGTTCCGACCCCCGGGCTGGTTGGTTCCGACCCCGGGATGCCTGGTTCCGGCCCCGGGATGGCTGGTTCCGAACCCCGGGATGCCTGGTTCCGGCCCCGGACAGCTGGTGCCGACCCCGGGCTGGTTGGTTCCGGCCCCGGGATGCCTGGTTCCGGCCCCGGGATGGCTGGTTCCGGCCCCGGGATGGCTGGCTCCGGCCCCGGACAGCTGGTTCCGACCACGGGCTGGTTGGTTCCGACCCCGGGATGCTGGTTCCGGCCCCGGGATGGCGTGGGTTTCCGAACCCCGGGATGCCTGGTTCCCGGCCCCGGGATGGCTGGTTCCGGCCCCGGGATGGCTGGCTCCGGCCCCGGGATGGCCGATTCCGGCCCCGGGATGGCTGGCTCCGGCCCCAGGATGGCTGGTTCCGGCCCCGGGATGGCTGGTTTCCGGCCCCGGGATGGCTGGCTCCGGCCCCGGGATGGCTGGTTCCGGCCCCGGATGGCTGGTTCCGGCCCCGGGGATGCCTGGTTCCGGCCCCGGGATGGCTGGTTCCGGCCCCAGGATGGCTGGTCCCGGCCCCGGGATGGCCGGTTCCGACACCGCGGCGCGTGAACCAGTGTGGACCTGGAACGGGTTGTAGTGACCTCCAGCGTCCGAGCACTTCTCGCCCAAGTTGGGCAGCTCGTGCACGTGCAGCCCGTGCTTGCCCGGCGTCAAACCCGAGATGCGACCTGAAAACACACCGCCGGTCAGGGACACTCCAGTACGCTCCAGGTCATGATGGTGCGCGGTTCGACATGTCCCATACGGATGATGAAATGTCTGTGACAAACTGCACGACTCGCGTAATCTAAGAAATAAACCAAATCGCGTGTAGTATTCATTTGAAACTGGAGCTCCCGTGTGGGCATGGAGCATAGCGAGCGCAAATATCATGAGCCATGCAATAATACGCAACCTGGATAAGTAGATGCGTATGGAAGCGCGTGAATGTATAACAAGACTTATGGATGAAAGCGCATACGAGGGCACTCCGTGTTTAGCTGGTCACGTAGCATATATCTGGGTCCATTCAATAGCTAGACGAGTAAAACACTGGTCTATCCTAAATAGCTCGACCTGTGTTTGACGTCGTCCAGAGTCGGATATCGGCATCAGGATCGGACAGATTTTTAGTGGGTCATAGTGGAATCGTGGGGGGTCAAGGTGAACAGTTTGTTGAGGTCGGAGCTGAGGCCAGCCGTTCGAGCTAGACTCTAGATTTGTGTACTCACATAGAAATGTGAATTGTGACGAATGCATTTCTGGTAACAGATGCTGCGTGTCCAGCACACGGAGCGCTGCATGCGTTGCAGCCTTGTAAAAACTACGTTCAAAAGTGAGTGCTGCAGCTTCATAAAAACTAAGCCAAAAGCGCGTTCGTTTAACCATCCATAGGCTACATTTAAAACCAGTTGCATCTGGATCGACTCCATCGCGATCTGATTCGAAATAACACCAAATATTCCGTCGATATTGAAACCGATTTAAAATTGGGTTATGCTGCTTAAAGAAGACAGAATTATTAACCTTAATCTTCGGAGAACAACCAGAAGAATGGAGATAGAGTTCGGTTGATATTCGGCAACATAACTTTATCGAAACAATAGCAGAAGTCTTTGCTATCTTCTGCTATTGTTTCAATAAAGGCATGTTGCCAAAATATCAGCCGCACTACATCTCCATTCCCCTGGTTTTTCTCCGACGAATAATGCTAATACTACTGTCTTATCTATGTGGATAACGTTCCTCGCTAGTGCAACCGAACAACTTACGTTATCCTGCTTGAAGTTAAGGTCGGTCTAGGCCTAATATGCTGCAATTCAGATCCGGTATCACTTCCCGCTGGGGCCAAATTAAACAAGATTGCAGGATGCATGAACGGAAATATGCGTTCGAAACAAAGCAAAAATAATCAAGGATGTCTTAAAACGTGCAAGGTGATGTGTAGTGATAGCCAACGGTAATCAAGTACCGGCGATGCATCGTGATGGCGCATTTTTGGAATTTGTGTGTGTCCACCCCCCCTTGGTTACAATATTGCTACGCTAAATGAAGCGAAAAAAATGTATTCACCTGGCGGGTACTGTGTTATGCGTGACGTCACTAGAAAGCAGAACCTGTCTGCTTCTTTAGCCAGCCAGTGGTGGCAAAACAAAAGCAGGGTGTTGCCTGTCCACAAGAAGAAGCTAACTGTAGCTAATTGAGTATCTGGGTGATAATTGCGCAATAAAAAGCAGGGAAGACACTGTGATTGCTACTCTTAGTAGGCAAACCTAGCTTTACAAACCTTGTCTGATGGCATTCGAACTCCGTGTTTTGGTTTAACGCTGAACACCTTTGCCGTTTTAAAACGTGTCGGTTTGGTCTATTCAGAACTGAACATTTGGTGAACTTCCATAGACGTTTCACAAGTCACTCAAGAAACGCGGGATGTTCGCTTTAATCCATAAAAGTCCAGCGTAATAGGCTGACAGTGGGTACCGGCAGCAAATGGAGCGCGTACCGCCTTAGCTCGCCCACACGTGCGCACGCACCAGTGACCATGACCGGGTGGCTGGGGCACTCCTGGTAGAAGAAGAGCGCGCCGTTGATCTTGTCGCTCACGCCGGACACCAGGTCGACCCGAGCGGCTACCGCGCTACATTGCTGCCGAACCAAAACGGCGCGTTTCTGTGTTGTATTGCACTGTATTGATTGCAGTGCGGTGGCTGACGACAACGGCGGCCGACGACGCCGCTGAGACGGTCCTGCGGCCGGCGCTTCCAACTAGAGGATTTTTCCCGAGGGAAAATAATCAGTCAGAGAAATCGTGACGGTGGCCGTGCAGGTGGTGTGCAGTGCACTTCTCTGAACCTGTCCGCCAATGATACGACCTGTTCACAGTGGGAGATGACAGTGCGCACAACTTATTCAAATCGAGTTTCGCTATTTGCGCCCTGGAAAATCATAGCTAGATCAATCGTGAGAAGAAAATAGACACGAAAAGGTCGGGAAATACTCGTCTATAGGTAACGAGACGGTCAACAGGTTACCGAGATTGGTTACCGTTTGGTTACGTACCGATTGGTTACGAGACAGGTTACCGAGGCGTGCTGCGCGCCTTTGAGATGAACATATCAGACAGTAGACGCCACGCACACCCCTCAGCAGTCATCAAGACAGTCATCGGACACTGAAACGGGCTGCGAAACACTACGACTTGAACGCCACCAAAAGTCTTCGTGAGTCAATAAGCCACGCATCTCATGTCATCGTCGGATCATGGCTTTTCTTAACAGCCAGCAGATAGCCCCGGTCAGTATCACCGGGTTATTCTACTTTGGACCCCGTTCGCAGACGGATGAGCCACAATTCACAATTCGACTGAAGTGACATTGGAAATTCTCGAATCGCTAGCCTTCTCGATAGTTCCTCGGCGCCGAGTAGCAAAAGTCATACAGCTGTGCTGCCGAGACAACAGGGCGTGACCCGTACATAAGAAACTAGCTTGACGTTAGCTAGAGTCACGCACGCTGGGTTTAGCCCACAGAGTTCACTTCCGCAGCTGGGTGAGTATTTTTCATAACCTATCATGTACGGCACGATACAGTACACGATACGATACGATGCGAGAAGAAGCTCTGTGAAGAGCGAGGGCCGAATATCCACGCTAAGAACGGCGTTTTTTACAGCGTTTATGGATCTCCTAGACGTAGTTTCATAGAGTTCCGTAAAATGTGAGAAAACGAAATAAGGTCATATTTCGAGTGAATTTATAATGTCAGTTTCAACGAACTTTACAACAGAAAGATTTTCTACGAAATCAAGCGGCCATTTCAACAAATGAACAAAGAACAGTGAGCAGTGCACAGAGCAGAGAGTCTTCAGCAGTGAGCAAAAATGACGCGTCCTCGCCAGTGCTGGCTCCGGACAGAGGCAGTAAGTCTAAGTAAGTCGTTCTCAGTCTAGGTCACATTCTCGACAATGTTCTGATGCCTAGGGCGAAATGAGGAATGCTCTGTTGTTACTTCAGAGTCGTTAGGTGAAATGACAGTCATTACCTGTCACCCCTCCTCCGACATCGCACCAACTCGCTCTTGACCCTCAGGCCTGAACTGGTTCAAGGAAAGAAGAGTCCGTTGATCTTGTGATAGAACTCAAAATGCAAGCGATGAAAATATCGTTGGATGGGCGAAGTTTATGTCTTGGTTTACTTTATTGCGTTCTCAAATAGAATTTCGATGCTACACTGCATGAGCCTGATGCAACGATCTTGCACGTATTTATCACTAGAACGTTGTTCTGGTTGAGTGGTTACACTGGTTTCCGCCTCCGAGGTGCTATGACCAGTACACTGAAGTTTGGAAATGGTCCTCACTTCGTCGCTAAGTAAATGACAATTTTCATAAAATATTCAGAAGATCATTACAGACGGAAGATCCAGAATTTCGCCAAAATGAAAACGTTATATTTCGGAGGACCTGAAATGGAATGGCGCCTGAGAAACGGGCAACATTTGGAAGTTTTGTAGAAAGGCACATACGATATGTAGCAGGGACGTACTCAGGGAGGATGGGAAAGGGCAGAGGGGTATCGTCCATTACACGACTGTTCAGTAAAGTTCGGGGAGGTCCGTCAACATATTCTCTTCGCCTCGACGTCCACCGTGTGCTTTTGTGTCATCTTCAAAAATGTAGGCATTTTCCTTGACCAAAAATGGCGAGAAAGGTTTTTTTGTTGAAATGGTCAAAAATAATTTACCGCAAAACTTGGCGAGGCTCAGCAGCGCACTCTCTTTACCTTGGCCCCCACCACATTCCTTTTGTTTCATCGTAATTTCTAAACATCCGGTAGGTACGGTAGGTGGATAAGCACGGTAGGCGGGTAAGCACGGCAGGACCCTTGTCCCCCGAGGCACTGAACACACCTGTAGGTATATCACGAAGGTAAAGGTATAATAGAGAAATACTAGTACAAATCAAATGATATAAAATACATGACATAATACAAAATAGATGCGATGTAATTACGGGCACCAAACATGCATCCTCATGCATATTTAGCCAAGAACTCGCCTCATATACGTAGGACTAGCAGCAAGCCGCTCCGGCTTCACAGTCGTGTCTCGTGCCACTGTCCAATGCGGTAGTTTAAATTTGGTCAGCCGCATGCTTTTGTGTCAATGGACGTAATAATGCCCCCCCCCCCCCCCCCCCGCCTCGGCAGTCCACACCAAGAAATGTTTTGTTGCACACACTTTCCGTGCATGGAAGGCGGCCTGGCCAAGCTGAACGGATGACTCACACATACGGATGTTCGTAGGAAATGGATCATATAATTCATTACCAAGGAATTCAGCGACATTATTCCATCAATACCTAAAGCAGCGTTACAAAAACATATTGCATGCAATGCGCTGAAATAATAGCATCGCTACAGTTCTTCAACTCATCTTCAACTACAGTTTGTCAGACATGTCCTACTGGCGACCATGGGTTTTCACCTCAGCAGTCTGGCGAGCCGCTAGCCCGCGTGCGCTGGGAGGCTGACCTGCGGCGGTGGCCGGTAGTTTCCATATTCGGGCTTAGCCTGCCGCTGCGGAGTCCGGGGGCGCTGGGCGGCTGCCGGGCCGGCGGCGACCAGCAGACCCAGCAGAAACAGTCTGAAGCAGAGCGAGGCCCGCTATCAGTCTGAAAGTGCGGTCCAGAGAGGCCGGCCTCTGGCGACCCAGGGAGCCAGCCTTCGGCGGCCTAAAGAGCCGTCCACTGACGGGCCAGACAGCTGGCCTCTGACGGCCCAAACATGCCAACATCTGGCGGCCCAGAGAGGACAGCCGGTCTCTGGCCGCCCAAGAAGCTGGCCTCTGGAGAGCTAGAGAGCCGGCCTCTGGCGGCCCGGAGAGTCGGCCTCTGGCGGCCGAAAAGAGGTCGGACTCTAGCGGGCCAGAGAGGTCGACCAATGGTGGCCCAAAGACGCCCGCCTCTGGCGGGCCAGAAAAGCCGACCTCTGGCGACCCAAAGATGCCGGCCTCTGGCGGGCCAGAAAAGCCGACCTCTGGCGACCCAAAGATGCCGGCCTCTGGCGGGCCAGAAAAGCCGATCTCTGGCGCCCCAGCGCCAGAGATGCGGGACGGGTCGGAGCAGGTGGGCGCAGGGGCGGCGGCGGCGGCGGCGGCGGCGGGCAAGGAAAGGAGGCAGGGAGCGAGAGTGAGAAACGGGAAGGAGACGGCGTGTGTGCGTTTGAGGCGGGGTTTGGATTAAAGAAAAGCCAAAGCCAAAGCCAAAGCCAAAACCAAAACTGAAGACAAAGACAGGAACAGAGAAACCGAGACAGGAGACAGAAACAGAGACAATGAGGCAAAGACGCAAAGAGACAAACAGGCAGAGATACAGGAGGAAGCTGAAAGGCTGAGACAGAGGCAGAGAAACAGAGACAGAAGCAGAAATACAGAGGCAGAGAGAGGCAGAGACAGAGACAGAGACAGAAATACAGATGCAGATACAGATATAGATAAGAATACAGATATAGGGAAATATACGGATACAGAGGCAGAACAGAGACAAAGACAGAAACAGAGACGGAGATAAAGGCAAGGACAGGTACCGTGGCCCACACGCACGTGTGTGTTTTGGTGAGCACTGCCAAATGCGAAGGGCCACAGGCGCCGCCCCTCATCTTGCTGGTACTCAGTAAGTACTGAGGCACTTGTCAGTACAGTAAATGCGGTATTCACGACAGCTTGTGGCGTGAAGTGAAGTGTTCTAAAACCTTTTATATTAGGAAATGGAAGGCACTTATTTACCACACTAGTAACCTTGAACCGAGCGATTCGTGCATCGGGTGATGATCTAGAACTTGGGACGGTGTAAAAAGAAAAGTAACTGGAAATGACCATTCAAAACTCAGCATAACCATTTTTCCACACCGTTACCCAAAAACAGGTAACCAGGAGCGTCACTCCCTCTATCCCAGCGACGCCATAAACCGTACGTTAACACCAGAAAACCTCAAATCAAGTCGCGGCACTCCCAGCTAGGAAGAAGAAGCAAACATAAATAAGCAGGCGAGGAGGTGGTGCAGACCCGGCAGGAATTGTGCTATGCAATAGGCAAGTCCAAATCACACATGAGAAGGCTTAAGGCAGTCACAGTCAAAGTCAGCTAACGACGCCCGCTAGAACCCTCCAATAAGCTACAACCACTCAGTCACAGTGTTAGTAAGGGTTGTACGATCACGCAAGTCGGAGGGACAATTAACTGGTCACTTTCGTGCTGGGTTTTGAGCTGGATGTCCAGGGAGTCCACCCAGCTAAGCGGAGCTTGTTGCTGCGAGAACTCCCGGAGCCAGCGCCATGGATTTGGGTACAAGTGCACAAACATCACTATTTCAGAACGTGATTATGGAGCATGAAGAATGCTGAATATGAAGTGAGATGAATACGTGCAGGGCAAAAAATTGCGATATCCTCAAATATGTTGGCTACGTTAATATGTATTCACGAAATGCTTGTGGATGTTCTTAACGAGAGTTTTTAATGCGGAAATATCAGTTATTCTTGGAAAATATGAAATCATAATATCGTTCCACAGCTTAGGGCCCATGGAAGATGTTGTAAATAGCTCACAACTATGATAAGAAAAAGTTTAGTCTACATGTTTTACTGGCCTCATATCCACTTTATTTGATTCGTAGAGCTGGTATATTAAATCGAATGATACAGGAAGCTGTAAAGTTAGAATTTGTGTATCACAATTAGCATGTGGGATTTAGATATATTTATTACTTCAAAATTTTGTATCGCATAAAATTGCCTCGAAGCTTTGTGGATGGTGCATGTTTTCCATCAGGCACACAGCCTTTTTTTCCAAAATTACTAACCAATCTAGTTGAGAAACATGACTGACACTTCAAATCAAGCAGCAGTAATTAAAAAAAAATATAAAGTGTTATAGAGTAGATGTGACGTTGTTTTATCACTGATGTACCTAGTCCTACTTATTATTTCAATATTTCTATTTAATATGCTTGCAACGAAATTAAGGTGACGCGTAAATTAAGAGACTTGTCAATGAGCACACCAAGGTGCTTGTTTTTTCTCCTCAATAGGTGAATTATCAATTTGCACATTTAGCTGGAAATGCGACGAAATGATAGTATAAATCTGTGTAAATATTTATGATACGTTCAGTGAAAGAAAATTAGCACTAAATGAGGAAGTCATGAGGAGGAAAAGTGCATTGATATCGTTTTGAGGCTCCACAATGCTTTTATTTTTGAAAATAATCGCAGCTTATCGGTGTAAGAGAGCAAATCGTGATACTACTTAATTTAGACAAGTCATTAAAGTACATTATGAACATAATTGGGCCGAGAATTGCTCCTTGGGATATAACCATCGTTACGTTCTTGAATGATGATGGGTATTTCCTGATTTTGACGCATTGCATTTTAGCAGGGAAATATGACGAAATGACGTCATGATATTTTCGTCGAATACCATATTTATTATGTCTACGTAGAAGAAGGCTTATGCTAACAGTGTCAAATGCTTTTAAAATCTAAATACAAACCTAGCACATATTCTCCGTTCTCAAAAGCCTTAGTGATGATTTCCTGGAGAATAAGAGTTGACATGTAGGTACCTTTGTTCTTCTGAAGTTCGAACTGATTTTAGTGAATTAGGTGATTTTGGTTTAGATGAAGGATGAATCTTATATATATATATATATATATATATATATACATAGATGAGTTTTTGGAGAATTTTGGACACAAGCAGCAGAATACTCGTAGGTCTGTAGTTATCTACAAATTGACAGTCTCTCCTTTTAAAGATGCATGTAATCACGGCTTTTAAAAAAAATGCCTGGAAATATCCCTGATGATAACAGCTGTTGAGAGATGGAGAATTGCTTTGAGTATTACCCTATAATATATATTGAAGATTTTTTCATTTACATTGTCAACTCCAGCTCCGACATTGTTTGGTCCATTAATGATAAGAATTAAGTTTGCTCCGTTAGTGGGGGGTAGATCCATTAATTCTGTATTTGCGATGAACTGGAATGGGCTGAATGATGGTCTAGGAATATTGTCCTTTAACTGTTGTCCAATCTCAGTGAAAAAGAAATGAAGTGATTCTGCGATATCCTGATCATCTGTGATCATTTTGCTATTAGCCTCACTCATCCTAGTTGGATCGGCATCCTTTTTCGCTTTGAATTTATGAGGGAGTGTACTGTTTTCCATGTTTCCTAGGAGTTACCAAATGTTTAATGATTTCATCAGCATAGCATTTCTGCTTGGCTAGTCTAAGAGATGTGGTAAGGACGGTGAGAGCGGTAAGAGTTGCGGTAAGAAGTGTGAGTTAGCTTCGATTCAAAACAAGATCGCTGGCGAAGCGCACCTTTCTTGAACAGTCAGCAAATGTTGATTCCAGCGATCCGTAATGCCGTCAAGATTCACTACAGCCACGCTGTCCTCGCAAGCGTGTCCTGTTTTCATGCAAAAATTCATTTTGTAAGACCGGCCACACATCAAAGGCATCATTATAACGACACGATCGCGTCTGTATGTCCGTCTGCTTGACGTCCCCCTGAAGTTGTCTGGCTTCAAGAGCAGCATGTTTTGAAAGATCGCCAAAGGACACCTCCAAATCAAGGCGACCGTCTACCGCTCCACGGCTTCAATTCATGCAGTAAATGCAGTAAATTCATGTAGTGAATCCATGCAGTAAGAAACTTAAATGATTTTATAGTGCTGCAGGATAACCAAATGTTTCGTAACAAAGACGTCTCAAAGATGTTTGTTGACCAAATCGCAATAATTGTCTACACTCGATCACAAGCAACGGCCACAAAACCAAGGACTGGCCTGATCCAGTCGTCTCTGGCAACACTGTTCTCATATCAACGCATATGCACGGCATTGGAATGCTTCGTGTTGTAAGTTGGCCCCTTAGTTAGAGGGCCACAGCTGGGGCGGAGCTCGTACCCGTCTGTCGGCGAACGCGGACCGGCAGCAGACCTAGTATCGAGGTCCGACGGCCTGGCCGGCTGAGCGCACCCGGCCAATCACGGCACTTAAGCGGCCAATCGGCGCATCTGTGCCGGGTGACGGTCCCAGCGCAGTGCTCCACATACGACGGACAGGCCTCGTACGAATAACGTCAATGTAAACCAACGACTGGGAATTACGGACTGAGTCAACTGCTCGCATGGGCTCATTTTCCATTTTAACGAGGAAAATAGTACTAGAGAAAATCTGTGAGCCTGACGCACTTTTACTCAGAACCTTGGCAACGTCGATCGCTACAAAAAACCTGCCATTCGCGAGCTTCTTCGACATATCAATCCAATCATCCTTATTTTTCTACATACAATAAGTTTGGCATTTTGACTATTCAAAGACGTGCAGTCACGTTTAGTGCCTGCATTGTGGCTTGCTTCCGTTACAAGAATAGCAGGAAAACGACATCTCTGCCTTAAAAGTTCCCAGTAGCCTGAAAAGTAGACATTTGTTTTAGGTACGAGACTGGGGACAATTGGGACGCAATAGGATCAAGAGTGTGAAAAATATATTCACGCCGAAAAGTGTCAGCATCTCAGCACTGATTATTTTATTTCCACAAAAGGCAACACTGCATGACGCCCTTTTCGATTC